TCGGGAGGTGGAGATTGAGCAAGAATTTTCAGTCTCGCTCGACAGGCTTCAGTCAGTCCTGCTGACAGTCAGGGGGTCACGCATATGCTATGTGTGGGGCTGGTCACCTTGGTTCCTGGCCCCTTTACACCTCTAGGTTTATGGAGTCTTTTGCCGTGTCAATGGGCGAGCGCCTCCGCTCGGCCAAATTAGGCGGAGGCGAAAGAGCCGACCAACGCCAGCGCCGCGACAGGCACATGCTTAGTCATCGGCACACTAGAAACACTGGCGCAGCTACTTCTGTGTGCCATTTTCGTCCAAGAGGTCGAGCCAATCTTATGCCCAATATGCTTCCGACACATGGTCCGTCACCAGCATTGCGACAACATGCGACAGCCAAGGAGTTGTGGGAGTAGTCAAGCGCAGCGTAGGTCGTTCGTGACACACAGCCATGGTCGGGAGTGCTGCAGGGCGCCGCTAAATTTTGCTTGGAGCATGCGATGGCGCTCGGAAGTCGAAGGCGAGCGGCACGCTTGGGCTCCTTTTCCCGAGACCAGCAGAAATTGACCGGGTTCTGGAGTTCTGGAGCTGCTTCAGCAAGATCGACAGCACAGAACGGCTTGGCAAGATTTGATGGAAGACTTGGTATCTTCAGTGGTGTTGGATTTGCTGGGTCATGTGAGTGATACGTGATCCCAGTGCCGTCGTGACGTGCGTCCAAGAGTGGGTCTCCGGCTGCTGACCAATGTTAATCATGTTTATTGCGTCAGCTCTCTTTCGAGCACGCAGTGCGCTCCCGCCTGCATGTATGTGTATCGCATTACCAGGTGCCTGGTCCACGGTTCGTTTGGGGCTGTGCACGCGGCGGCCTGACGCAAGGCAGCGGCTTCGCTCCGGGGTGACAGAATGCAGGCAGGTGGGTCGTCCACCTGCGTGCCAGACTACCGGACGAATGTTTTGCTGCCACGGGTGTCTGACCGCATGAAGCTAAAGTGATGGAAGATTCGCGTGCAGTACGATTTCCCCTTGCTTGGAGCAGGACGAGTTTTATTCGAGCATTGGAACATCCAGGTGCATGTGACAACGCCCAGAAGATGGCCACGTGGTCAACAAGCGTTCAAGGATTTCGCGATTTGGGAAGAGCATTGTTGAAGGGCTGCGCCGGTGCCGCCGACCCCGCTACCAGGGGCCCGGCGCAGGTAGGCGGCATGAAGTAGTAGGGTGCCCCCAAACCCCAAGTCCTTCAGCCCGCCATTCCGGCTCCGTAGCGGGTGCGGGGGTAGCATGTCAAAAAGCAGCAATGCGCGGCGCAACGGGCATACATTTACAGTCGCAGGAGGTGAAGTGGTCCAAAAACCGAATAAAACATACACATACAAGTGCCCTACATGTGGGGTGTCGGTCAAGTCCTCGAAAACAGATGGGCGCATTCGTGCGGAGCGCCATTGCGGGCATACATTTACAGTTGCAGGAGGTCAGGTAGTCGCAAAACCAAAACTGGCATATACATACAAGTGCCCAGCATGTCAAGCGCGCGTATCAACGAAAACGCGGGACGGTATCGTGGACAACCGAAGAACGTGTGGGCACCAGTTTAAAGTGGCCGGAGGTGTCCTCGTTAGAAAACAGAAATGCAAGCGTGCGTGTCAAAAGAGGACGCGCAAAAGTGCGCAGAGGCTAAGGAGGAAGGGCTCCTAGCGAAATCGTGTTGGGGCGGCAATTACTGGACCGGCAGAGGGGGAGGGGCTGCGACTAACGGGCGTGTCGGGCGCGCCGGGTGGTCGTGCTGAGAATAGATTCATAGATTTCTAAAAAACACAGCAAGAATCGCGACCCGGGGGAGGGGGGGGCGGTGCAGAGCCAAGGCGGGGAAGGGGTGGGGCCGCAACGAAGGGGGCGGCGTCGCGAGCGTGTCCGGCGTGTGGAGCATGCCGGGTGGTCGTGCTGGGACACCAATAGAATAGAAATATTGAAACATAGCAAGTCTCAACCGAGAGGGGGGTGCAGAACCAAACCTTGCGGCGGAAGGGAGGGGGGGTGCGGCAACGGGCGTGGCGTCGCGCGCGTGTCCGGCGTGAGCAATAGAAAAGGGGGGTGTCCGGCATTTCCCGGGACCCGCTGTTACAGGCCGGGGGGTGGGCAGGCCTGCCTGGTGGCAGCACCGAAAAGGGCGGCGTCGCGGGCGTGTCCAACGTGCCGGCGTCCTGGGGACCCCAGGCCTGGCAGGTGGTAGCAGCGAAAGGGCGGCGTCGCGGCGGGCGTGTTGGGTGGTCCAACATGTCCGGGAGGGGGGGTGCAGAGCCAAACCTTGGGGGGGGCGTCGAAAGGGCGGCGTCGCTGTTAGAAGGCGTGTCCGGCGTGTCCAACGTGTCCGGCGGAGGCGGGGGGTGCAGAGCCAAACGTCGCGGGCGTGTCCGGCGTGGCGGGTGGTCGTGCTGGAGAAGCAATACAATAGAAATCGAGACGTGTCCGGCGGAGGGGGGGGTGCAGAGCCAAACCTGGGGGGGCGCCGAAAGGGCGGCGTCGCGGGCGTGGCGGGTGGTAGTGCTGGAGCAGCAATAGAATAGATAGAATCGAGGGTGTCCGGCGTGTCCCGGGACCCGCTGTTACAGGGGTGGGCAGGCCTGCAGGGTGGCAGCACCGAAAAGGGCGGCGGCGTGGGCGTGTCAGGAGACATAGCAACCCGCGAGAAGGGGGGGGGTGCAGAGCCATGGGGAGGGAGGGGGCGGGAACGAAGGGGGCAGCGTCGCGGGCGTGTTCCGGGACAGGCTGTTACAGGCCGGCCTTCCGGAGACACTGCTGTTACAGGCAACCAGGGGGCGGCATCGTGGGTGTCCGGCGTCCTGGAGACCCGCTGTTAGAAGGCGTGTCCGGCGTGTCTTGAGGGGGGGGTGCCGAAAGGGCGGCGTCGCGGGCGTGGCTGGTCGTGCTGTAGCAGCAATAGAACAGAAATCGAGTAGAAAAGGGGAAGGGCGTCCGGCGTGTCCCGGGACCCGCTGTTACAGGCCGGGGGTGGGCAGGCCTGCCTGGTGGCAGCACCGAAAAGGGCGGCAGCGTGGGCGTGTCCGGAGACATAGCAACCCGCGCGGCGAGAAGAGGGGGGTGCAGAGCCATGGGGGGGGGGGGAGGGGGGGGAACGAGGGGGCGGCGTCGCGGGCTTGTCCAGCGTGTCCGGCGTCCTGGGGACCCTGTCCGGCGTGTCCAACGTGTCCGGCGGAGCAAACCTTGGTGGGGGGCGGAAAGGGCGGCGTCGCGGGCGTGTCCGGCGTGGCGGGTGGTCGTGCTGGAGAAGCAATAGAATAGAAATGGAGTAGAAAGAGGGGGCGGCGTGTCCCGGGACCCGCTGTTACAGGCCGGGGGTGGTGTCCAGAAACTGGGGGTAGCAGCGAAAGGGCGGCGTCGCGGGCGTGTCCGGCGTGTCCGGCATGCCGGGTGGTCCAACGTGCGGCGGAGGGGGGGGGTGCAGAGCCAAACCTTGAGGTGGGGTGCGCCGAAAGGGCGGCGTCGCGGGCGTGGCGGGTGGTCGTGCTGGAGCAGCAAAAGAATAGAAATCGAATAGAATCGAGTAGAAAAGGGGAGGTGTCCGGCGTGTCCCGTGTTACAGGCCGGGGTTGGGCAGGCCTGCCTGGTGGCAGCACCGAAAAGGGCGGCGGCGTGGGCGTGTCTGGAGACATAGCAACGCGCGGGAAGGGGGGGGGGGTGCAGAGCCATGGGGGGGGGAGGGGGCGGTAACGAGGGGGCGGCGTATCGAATAGAATCGAATAGAGAAGGGGAAGGGTGTTCTGCGTGTGCCTGCCTGGTGGCAGCACCGAAAAGGGCGGCGGCGTGGGCGTGTCCGGAGACAGCAACCCGCGGGAAGGGGGGGGTGCAGAGCCATGGGGGGGGGAGGGGGCGGCAACGAGGCGGCGGCGTCGCGGGCGTGTCCAGCGTGTCAGGCGTCCTGGCGACCCGCTGTTAGAAGGCGTGTCCGGGGGGGCGTGCAGAGCCAAACCTTGGGGGGTGTCCGGCGTGGCGGGTGGTCGTGCTGGAGAAGCACTAGAATAGAAATCGAGTAGAAAAAGGGGGGGGTGTCCGGCGTGTCCCGGGACCCGCTGTTACAGGGGGTGGTGTCCAGAAACCGGGGGTAGGCATACAGAGGTGGGCAAGGAGCCCCTACTGGCGCCGACCGGGACCGGGGTCGGCGGATATAACCAGCAGTTGTCCCAAATTTGGCCAGCCGCATGCCCCCAGTTCCGAAATTATGACTGGAGCACGGCAAGCACTGCGTGCAAAGTGACTGGCTACAAAATGTTCGCAGCACAAACTGTATGCACCATCTGGTGATGCGACAAAGACAGGCACTGCAGTATTGCCATGGTTGTCCACGGTTATACCCGGCATGTTCGTACTTGTAGTCTGTAGCAAGCTCATTTCCGGCTTTCAGGATAGCAGAGGCCGAGGATGCGCGAGAGGCCTGGTGGGAGACACTTGCACACCGAGAACAAGCAAGACATGTTACCCTCCTTCGGTTGTCTTGCTGCATCCACGGTTGTGAATTTGGGTCAGCGTTAGCCGTGGTCTCGGGTGTAGGTTGAGTGGAACGAAGAGGAGTCGTCACTGAGAGATCAATGTTAGCTTGGCAATGTGTGACTTCGTCCTGATTTTTGGCACATGCGACTCATTGCGGACAGCAGAAGCCGATGCTCTTTCCGTGCAAAGCACAAGGGCACCATTGACTAGCCTGAAGGCAGCCTCGTCGGCATCCTCCTCATCTGAAGCTGAGAGCATGAATCCAGCATGCTGAGCTAAGAGGCAGTCAGAAACGAGTTGTCATGGGCATGACCATGTGGTTGCGCAAGTGCCGGCATGTGGACAGCTCACTCTGTTGCAACAACTGCAATCAAGAGTGGATCGTCCTGGGAGTTACAGCTCTGTACATAGACATCGAGGTCGGTCTCGCGCAGTCGGAAAACTTGTGCGGTGTCACGGTTCAGCACGGCAATGCGAGTCGGCAGTGGACTCCGTAGACTTCGTCGACCGAGGCACGGCCCATGGTCTTATCCTTTGCTCCTGGTTGGTGGGGTCCTCCGGAGATGCCGCCAGCTCGGAAAATCAGGGTCTTCGTGGTGGCCCTGGGCATTGTGGTGAGCGAGCAGCCGGCGCCTTGCGTGTGTTTTTCCAGGGGACTGTTGAATGACTTCCGGATGGCCATGGATGAGCTGCTGGCATCGCCGGAGCAGGAGCCTCCCAACGAAGCAGCTCGTGCTTCTGCAATCGGCCACACACAGCGAAGGAGACAGCTGACTATGCGAAAGAGGCCTACGACAACCTGATGCCGGGTGCCGAGCTGGAAGGGTAATGCCAAAGACGGGTCAGCACTGACTACTTGCTTGCGATGCTCTAGCATGCTCCAGCTTCATAGCCGCGGTCATGCCCATGCGTGGCTGAGATATGCGAGGCTCGCCATAAGCCAGCAGCAGCGGCAATGGGCAGGCACCAAGGACACTGCAATGCTTGCATGTTCGCATGTTGTTAGCAGTACCCGTAGGCATGCTGCAGGCAAGGCCCTTGAAAAGGCTTGGCGCCAGTTCATGAGGATGCAAACGCTTTCTTTCCAGATGCAGACTACGACATCCTGGCGCGTGGAGATCGACGCACGGAGGTACTGCCGCATTTTGTAGAAGCCGCTTCGCAAGAAGCCACACACTGCAGGCACGCCTCGTGCCACCACCCTGCGGCTGCTTGGAGCTTTACGAGGTCCAGATGATCCAACAACGGTTCATTTTTGGTTGGCGAAGGTTTGTGAGTAGTGGACGGACCGCCACTGCTTTGGGCAGGTCGGCGGTGAACATGCGCATCCGCATCGGCACGCGAGGCTCCCTGAATTCCATAGCCTTCCGTAACCTCACCGCCAAGCGTTTCGCAAGTAGGACGGTCATTGCTTCAAGGCGCTCTGGTTTAGGTACAGAGGAAAGCGAGGTGTTTTCGAATTCGAGCAGGGGGTGTAATCGAGCTGTGCGCAATTTGTCAGGGGTCATAGTTTGACCACGTCAGGCCCAGTGGCTTTACGCTGGAGTCGCAAGGGGAACAGGCAGGGTAAACCATAAATCTGAAATCTCCATCCTGTTCTGGTGAAGGCCACATTCCAGGCATCACCTGCGTGGCTGCGGTCGTTGTCTGCCCTAGCAAGGCACGACCTGGAGGCGAGCACCGACCTCCAGTGTTCGTCAATGAAATCCAAGAGAGGACGGAGCGAACAAACCGCTTGGGCAACGTTGACTTCGCAGCGTCTAGTGAAGTCTGCGTGGAGTTGTACATGTGGCGGAAAGAGTCCACTTTGACAACACTGGTATGAGTCGCAGGCTTGGAGGCTTTCTGCAAGTGTCTGGTTGGACTGGCAGGGTGACCTGGACATTCTGGCAGCCAAGTTTGATTTGACATCGGCGAGATTGTCAGAAGTCAGGCCGCTGACCTCTTTTGAACGTTGCTCCGAAAAGTCTGTGAATACCTGCGAGAGCTCAAGCCTGAACCTGTCAATACCTGGCACTTCAACTGACAAGACAGTGTCATGTTGAGCAGGAAGCATGGGCTGCCTGCCGGGCACACCTGCCTTGTTGAGAGTTTGTCAAGGCTTATGTCGTCCTAATCAAGACATGACGTCCTAGTCAAGATAAGACGTTCTAGTCAACAGAAAACTTTGTATTCATTGCTATGGAGCAACTTGGTATATGGCAGCAGTCTTGTCGATGCTATCGCGCTCTGCAGATCTGAGCATGATAAGACATTGTTGTTTACCAGAGGAGCCTTTCATCTTACAGAGACTGCCAAGTCTGCTAGCTGCCAGCCGCTGTGACAGGCTCGCCATTGACATTGCTGGTGCGGCAAGCGCAGTCGAGGTTACGGGGGCCTAAAATCTCTTATTCTGTTTCAGCGGCACGAGCCTGGTCAGCAGTGCTTAAACCGTTGCAGGCTGCCCGCCGCGAGCTTGTGGAAGGCGAAGAGCGTTGGACTGTTGCTCGCACGGTGTTCTGAACCGCCCGACAGAAGCTGGCTGAAGTTGTGACTTCAAGAGGTTCAAGTGCAATTCGCCACGGCAGTGTGCTTTTCCAGGTATTCTGCAGTACTACGGCACCCAGGCAGCTCGATCAGCACACAACAGCTTCAATTGATACGAATATCAGCATGCTTCTCTGTCGGTGCACGGCGCTAGCGAGTATAAAATTATTAACGCTACGCCGCCCGCCTCGGCTCGTCAGGTGCAGGGGCCGGATGAAACGGCAGAGCCTTCAGTATCACTCAAGAAATCTGTCCAGGTCACGGCTACATTAAGATTTCTTTGAGCAGGACTCCCACGATTCAACAGTGCGGGGGCGCCGTAGAGCGTGCGGCAAGGAGGAACGAACCAGGGTTTAGGGATCAGCGCGGGCGGAGGGGGGACGGGGGAGGGGGGGGGCGGGGGGGGAGGGGAGGGGGGAGGGGGGGAGAGGGGGGAGGAGGGAGGGGGGGTAAACGGTACTTGAGGTAATCCCCAAGACGCCTGGGCTGGCCTCGGCGGATAGGAAGGCTAGTCCGACGCTGAAGAAGCATATCTGCGCGAGGCAGTCGGTTGGACTTGCAGTCATTAACACCATCGCCCTTCCAATGTGCACGTGGCATTGGGGTGAAGGGCAACACCTTTCTGCCGACGCCCTGCAATGACCGACCAAAGTTGTAGGCTAAAGGGGCCATTCCAGACTGCGGCTGCGCACCGGCCTGCAATGCTTCTTACGTTCCCCTGGCGAGACGCGGACACGAGGTTCAGCGCTGACGCGTTGTTGGATCCCTAGCGCGCAGTGTGCATCGTGCGCATGTGAACACGCTCTAAGTGCACGAGCCGCCACGGAAATGCCGCACACCTTGATTAGGTTTGCGCGGAGTCTGACGGCCAACCCTTGAGACGCGGAACTGAAGGAGAGAACATCATGAATTTCTCTCCGTCCCTTGGCCGTTGACATGTAATTAGTGATCGTCATGAGATTCGTCTGACAGAGACTTGCGAATGGGTTTAGTCAAGCTTGCCAGTGGGTACATACAAGTAGAACACTTCTACAGCGAAAGCTCGAAGCTGCACACTCCTCGGTCTGTGGAGAAGGTGGAATGGAGTGCAGCGGAGCTGCCGACAGAACCTGACGAGGCCAGAGACCTTCAGACAAAAGTCGTGTATTTTCCCCGATTTCACTGGCGAGCACTACCACGTGTCGCGTCACGGGAGGGTGCGTACGAAATATTACGACAGCTGACAAGTTGCAAACATGGAGAGCATGCACCGGCCGGCATTGCAATAATCAGCCGGTGGCAGGAGCCACCGTCGAGGGAGAACTCAGCAAAGAGGCTGCAATGGATTCCCCTGCATTGCTCCTTCGGTTTCTTTTCACGCATTGGCATTGTCGTACCAGCTAGTTTGAATAAATAGCACATTATGTGGTTTCGATGCTGGGTGTGTATCCGTCTCCATCTACATCAGTACATGATGCAAACATGCACGCACAGCAGCCACAGACCAAGCTTTGGCATGGTTCCTGAGCCGTGGGCCGACTTCAGCAGATTTCACAGCGTTAGTGTTTCTCTTTCACCCTAGTAAAGGTTCTTTGGCCCCTTCTTTGGCTTCAACACGACACGGCACCAGTTGAACAGATCTCAGCGCAATTCTGCTTTGCCTTGTCAGGGTATGGGTCGGAGCTTCGACGCATCGCACAAGGCGCGAAAGTGAGTTAGCAGGTTTTCACCCTATCCGACTTCGGTCAGTTCCATCTTGGCGTGCAAGACTCCGGCTTGGCTCTGGCCAGCCCCTGAACCGTGTCTCTCAGGCCTGTAAGCGAGACCGAGGCTCGCGGCCGAGTCCCGGTTCTCTGAAATTGCCAAGTTTGCGTCCTCTCACATGTGCATTTGGGGTTTGGTTTTGGTGAGACTCTTCACTCGTGTGTAAGTTATATGGCTTTGTACACTCGTTACTTTGTGATGGTTGAACGGACTGCTACGGCCGGTCTGTTGCGGCCTCGTGTTCATGAAAATACTTTGTGCTGCAGCACACATCCGAGGTGGCAGAACCTGCGCCCGAGCTGGAAGGGGCGAGCCATTTTGGCCGTGCGTTTTCGCTTCGGGTGGTTTGAATCTTGACATGTCTGGTATATGCAGATGCACCCTTCGTCCAGCATCAGAGGCTGTCAGTGTCGTATAAGACGTGAAGCACTGGACAGGATGCAGAGAGCGGTGGCATGTGGGGGGATGCGCCACAGGCAACAGAGGCCGAGTGGCTTCCAATGATAAACACAGCAAAGCCGCGTTTCGTTTCGGTTTTTCAGATGGGAATTGATTCGGTTTCGGTTCGCGCGGTTCGCTGCGGTTCTTCTTGCGGTTCGGTTCGATTCCGGTTTGGTTAACCCATGCCTTTATGCATCGAGCCCCCTCCATCCAGACGCCCTCATACAACTCCATCCAGCCTTCTATGAGCCCCCATCCACCAACCCCCCTCCTTGAAGCCTCCCTCCATCCAGCGAGTAAGAGTCTGGAAAGTAGCCGCCTATCGGAAAAGGCATAGGCCCCTATCGCATAGGGGTCTATCGGAAAAGGCATAGACCCCTATTCCCAGCGGCCTACCCACTAGGCCAGAGACCCCTGTCGATAGGGGTCTATGGGGAATCGGATAGGTACCTATGGCCAGGGGTGTGTCACAGGTGGGATAGGGGTCGATGCATAGGGGTCTATGGCTGGGGGATAGACCCGTATAAGGCGCATAGACCGCTATCGTTTTGCGATAGGGGTCTATACACCCGCTCCTCCCTTTACAAGGGAGCGAGTGCAGGAAGCAATGAATCAAATGCATACGCACAAACAACTGCACAGCGAAACTCACAGGAACGGCTCGTTCTGCAGATTGTCCGTCGGTCGCTGCACGAGCACGCCGGTCTGTCACTCAGTCGGTCGGTCGGTTGATCCATGCACCGAGCGCCATGCAGACAGTCGGTCGGGCAGTCGGTCAGTCGGTCTGCCGCTTTTTGTGATATAGGAAGAGCCGGCATCGCCAAATGAGGGGTGCTTAAGATATATGGTAAACCGGAATCGCCACATGACGGGACGTGTTTCAGGTATGTGGTGGACCGTTGTCGCCAGATGTGGGGGCATGTTTAAGAAAGATGATGAACCGGCATCCAGTGAGGGGGCGTGTTTAAAATACACGACGACCTGTTATCGCCAAACGAGGGGGCGTGTTTAAGATATATGATGAGCCGTTATCGCCAAATGAAGGGGCATGGTCAAGAGATATGATGAACCGGAATCACCAAGTAAGGAGGCGGCGTGTGTAAGATAAATGGCGAACCAGAATCGCCACATGAGGGGCCGCATTTAGGGGTTTAATATATGATGAACCGATATCATTAGCAAAACATGCGAATGTAGCGAGCGATAGTGTCCATGCGCACTCACAGACAGCTGCGCAACGTGGTCATATGTCAAATCATTCGAAGGTTTCGTTCCGCGCTTGGACAGGGCAAAGAAGTAGGGTTTGTGGAAGAACCGTTCAAGGGTCATATGTCAAATCACTCGAAGGTTTTGTTCCGCGCTTGGACAGGGCAAAGAAGTAGGGTTTGTGGAAGAACCTTTCAAGGGGTTGGGTATCAGGGTTCTGAACCCTGCTTCGGCAAACCCTACTTCCTTCACATTCCCACATGCTCTGCTACTCCAGTGGCTGCATGAGATGGAGGCTCCTAGCTGCGAGAAAGCCGTGCACGAAAGCTAGTAGGTCGTGGCTACTGCGCAAGTCAAAAGTGCTTCAAACAGGACAAGGAAAGGCATAGGGGCCTATTGCTTGAGAGATAGGCCCTATCGCGATCGGGATACGGGGCTATGGAAAATCGATAGGGGCCTATGCTGCATAGGGAGCTAGCCTAAGTAGAGATAGGGCCTATCTATAGGGGTCTGTACGAATTCCCGTAGGGGTCTATCAGTGCGGGCCTATCGGAAAATGCAGAGGGTCTATCTGCAGGGGTTTGTGGCCGCGGGAGGGGTCGGGCGCATAGGGGTCTACAGGAAAAGCATAGGGGTCTGTATAGGGGTCTATGGACGCCTATGGTAGGGGGCTACTTTCCATACTCATCTTCCATCCAGCCAAACCTCCCGGCCTGCATCCAGCCGTTTTTGCCTTCCATCCAGCCAACCCCCCTCCGTCCATCCAGCCCACGCCCTCCGTCCAGCCAGCCCCATTCCGGACCGTGGCTTGCGCCATTCAAGCAAAGTGGGAAGCGGGGAAGCTGCTTTTCCGGCACGTACCTCCCTTGCTCCATGCAAGCATCGGTCAAAAACTCAACCTCAAGGGTTGTGCCCTAACCCTGAAACCTGGATGGAGGGTTTGGTTGAGGGAGGGTTGGATGGAGGCTGGAAAAAGCGCCTACATGTGGGGATGGAGGAAGGTGGCTGTGATGGGGGGTTGCCAGGCACGATGTGGAGGCCTGGATGGAGGCTTCAAGGAGGGGGCTGGCTGGAGGGGGTTGGCTGGCCGGGTGGTGGCTGGAGGGGGGGCCTGGATGGAGGGGGGTGGGTAGAGGCGCTACTGGACGGAGGGAGGGATGGATGGACTGAAATGCGGTTCGGTTTGCGCGGTTCGATGTCGTGTGTCGGTTCCGCGGTTCGCGGTTTTTGCGGTTCACAGGGGTGGACGGTTCCTTGCGTTTCGGTTCCGGTTTGCGGTTCGGTTCGCGGCCTTCCTGTAAACAGGGAAAATGTGCCAGTGCTACACGAACTTCCGCTTCACCCCGAAGCGAACACTCGTGTCGAGCTACTATGCACTATGCTGAGGTCTCGAAGCGACGAAAGCTGTAGATGCACATTCGTTGATGTTTTGAAGTTCGCCTGGGGTGCACCAGAGCCGGCGCAGGACCCGCGACAAGATAACAGAAGGTGAACAAATGTAACGACAACCGAGTACTGTATCATTGCAAGCTGACTACAAGGATGCGGAGGTAAGCTTGACAAGCAGACACGTCGAAGAGCTTGGCAGCCTCTTTCCTGGGCTCTTGGGGGTCACTCCCGGGCTTGGCCTGGGACCTGGGCACCCAGCAGAGTTCACGGAAAAAGCGAAGCACAGACTGGACTCATGCGCCAGGGAGGGGTCAAGTTTTGTGCTGTGGCCAGAGCTTGCATGTAAGAGCAAAGTGATGGCCAACTTTGTTCAGCTCGCCAGGAGGTATCCTGGGGCCCTGCGGCAGGCTGGCTGGAAAATGTGTTGAACGCCAAAGCTAGCAGTGGCTTCTACCCATGCTGTTTGCTTCCGTAGCTTTGTCTCCCAGCCATTGCCCGTTCATGCGTCGGCCTAGCAAATCGCATTGGTGACGCCTTCATCTCGAGAGGATTGTCCTGGCCCGAGTGCACGCAGGTGAAGACTCAGAAGCTGTTCCGGGGCTGCTGCAGGCAGAAAACGTATTGCAAACAGCTTGATCATCTTATTGTGCTGCATAACTGGCATGTCCGGCATATTGGCTGACAAGTTAGCAGAGCCAGGCCTTGCACAGCGTTGGCCTCGGAAGCGAGGCCAGCTATTCACAGCAGAATGAGAGCAAGCGTTTGGATCAAGAAGGGGATGAGAGGCCTCCGGCGGCTGCACCCGGTCTCAGAAGGAACCGCCGGGAGGGAAGGGTAGGTTACGGCAGCTTTGCGACACGTAGAGATGAGGTTCGACAACAGAAGGCCGGGCAAGCTGCGGAGCGGACTTGAATCCTTTCCAACATATCGATGACAGGCAGCACAAATCGCTCATTGGGCGGAGGAGAACGGTGCCGTCTCTGTGCAGGAGGCCAGGGGCAACTTGCAGGCTTGTTTCTGGAGTTCCCATGAAGCTTCGGGCTACCACAGATTTTAACGTCGCAAGGCAGTCCGAGCAAAGATTTTGATGGGAAGTGCGGGATGTGAGAAAGGTTGCAGAAAATGCCAACCTCTTCGTGGAAGAGGCCACGGGCGGGAGTTGAATCTGCACCGGGACTCCAATTTTCCACGTCAAAGCCACTGCAAGAGTCTGCAAGAGTGGATGACTTTTCCTGCCCTTCTTGCCAGCTCGGCCTCGACTGGTCCATCGCAGACAGGATGCAAGGGCTGCGGTAAAACAGGAGCTTTCTTTTTTTTGCTTTTAGGGTGTTGCAAATCACTAAAAGCCTGTACTGGCGGCTATCCTTACGGCCGAGCAAGATGGGATTGCAGCCGGTGCGCGCTCATGGCTTTGGGTGACCCTACCGCAATCCTCTACTAGGGCTTGCTCGAGCTTCGTACTGTACTTAATTTGTATTTCGCTGCCTTGACCTGCTGATGCCAACCCTGATTTGGAGAACGCTTCCTGATAAACGTGTTGGAGTGATTTCAGATATGCTCAGTGGACCAGTGTTCGACGTGATGCACCGCGCGCTTCATTTCAAGCAGCCGGCGGCGATTTACGCATTGTGTTCAGGTTGTTCCAATGCATCTGATAGTTTAACACTGTATTACTGGGGCTTTTGGAAGATGCCACGCAAGATGGCATTGTCGCCTACAGCGTTGCTGCTTGCTTTGGTGGTTGGTGCCGCAGCCCAGCAGTCAGTCTCTCTTCCTTCCGGGCGTGCCTTGCGTACAAAAGAAGCCAAGTGCGACGGAGTGGGTTCTTGGACTGAACTGGCCCCAACTACCATAAGTTGTTGACAAGTTGCCTAGGGCTCTGAGTCTGTTGGTATGAACCATGGCTTCAGGTTGCAGTTGTGGGAGCAACGAAGATTGCCACGACTCGGCCAAGAACTGCATACAAATAGGACTGTCAATGAAGTGCTTCAGTGACGCGGTCGTGCACGCAAAGACCAAGATCGGCACCTTCGAAAAGTTTGCAGACCATGCAGACCTCGCAGACTTTCCGTCCGCTCTCGAGCATGTGTCCACCTGGTTCCTAGGTCCTAGGTCTTTGATTTTGCTTCTGCAGCTGGTTACCAGCTTCTTTTATGTTTTTAGTGGGGTTGCTGCTTCGAAGCCTCACGTGACTCCTCCATGCGCCAAGAGTCGACAAAGGTTCATCGAGAATGACGTGGGCAGTGTAGAGGAGCTGGAGGGTTCAGATGAGCTCATGGGCAAGTTTCTGCTGGCATCTCACAGCAAAGTTAAGCTCCGGCCCTACTACAACATGAGGAAGTACCTGCAGAAGGACTTACGCAACGCACCTCCGCCTCCACCCATTCGAAATCCTCTTCCGCCTCTTCTAGGCAGGGAAGTTGTGACGCGTCCCGAAGCTGATCCCCGCTGCGACGAAACTATCCTCCTGTGGTCCGAAAACCCCGGCAGCCGATCCGAAACTAAAACACTGAACCTACGGGCACACTTTAAGCATAGAGTGTCCCGAAGTCGTGCATGCTGTTGTGCTCTGTTCCCCTCTGTTGTGGAAGCCTTGCACCCGTGACTAGGTGGGACAGGCCACTGATCGCGGCGGAGCCATGAGACGTTTGATTTGCAGCGGACAAGGGATCCAGACTTACGTACACTGTAGCCGTAACCGACCACCGCGACCCTAATCCTGCTGTGAAGAGCCGAGGACTGGATTTGGGCAGAGTGTTCGGCGATCGCCAATGAGACGGAAGTATGGTGAACAAGATGCCAAACTAGCAACTTGTTGGTTGTAAAGCTGAATTAGAGTTGCCGAGCTTGGAGAGCCGAAAATGTCTCCAATAATTGAATTTGCTACTGTTTGCTGTCATATGTATTTCAATCAAAAAATGATGGTATGCCTTTTTACAGTAGGAAATATGCCAGACCGTTGAATGTATATATATATATATATATATATATGTCTCCTAATTATCGGTCTGGTAGGTAGGAATTAGGAGATCAGTTTCGCGATCGTTGGAACAGATGTGATCTTTATTTTCCGTGGCTAGTATGGCGATAACCGATCGGGCCATACCGAAAAATCAGTTCGGTGTGGGAGGAGTAGGATACATCGCTCCAGTGCAGCCATATCGTTCCCTCTAGTAGGCTTTTCTCAGGGCCGCCCGATGGCGGCTCCATTAGTCTCGTAATTCGGGTTGCCTCGCCGAATCGCTTCGACGGAGAACCAAGGATCTTGGGGATTCTACACTCCGGGCGAAGTTGAAGCTCCCGAGAATCTAGCGCCTCCACCTGCCGCATCCGGCGATTGGGGCTCTGGAGACTGGGGTCGCGACGATCGTCGAGGACGTCGTGACCGCCCAGCTCCTGCTGCTCCCAATCCTTTCGCGGTTCAGCGGCCTGAGTTCGTTCGCCAGCTCGTGGTTGAAGAGGAGGACGAGACCAAGAACTCGTTCCTCGTCATCGATAATCGCGACGACCGGGTGATCTCCCCGTTCCAAAACTGGCTGATCGAGGAGATCATCTCGAATGCCGCCAGCTCGATCAATGCGCTGACGGAGCGGGATCTGGTCATGCTCCCGACTTCTGGCTACTACATTCGCTGTTCGCGAACTACACCCTCGATGGCATCAAGGCAATTCTGCTCTTCTCGATGACTTCGAGAATAGGGGACCCATGTGCTCAGTGGACTCCTATGCGAGTCGGGCGCTATCGCCCCCGGCTATCGCACCCGGCCTTCCAGCCTTCCCATGGCCGGTGATGTTCGATACCTCGGCCACCTATATGGATGTGAAGGTCTTCAATGGGAACGAGGTCCTTTTCCACTGGGAGCTCCGAGGTTACCGTTCGGATTCGGACCTCTCTGTCCAGCAGCAATTCTAAGACGAGGTCCTGATCAAGACGGCCAACGAGGGATGGATCCGTCCCTCGATCGTCATCTCGATCTTCGTGGGATGGAAGGTCTCGGAGACCTCGTTCGAGGTTGGAGCCCGAGTCTATACGATCGGTCCGAGACGAGGGGTGATGGCAAGTGATCATGCCATGAGCACTTGCGAATTCCGAGTGACAGATCGCTCCTCGAGAGAAGGCTATGGCAACGATACCGATCGTGTTGAGTTGCGATTCCGGGACGCAAACAACAGGATCGATCTCAAGTGCGGGCGGACGTCCGTGCCAGGCACCTGGCTCACGGTTAGCCATATCTCGGGGCCCGCCTTGATCAACACGATCCAGGCCTGCCGGAGCCAACGTGTTCGCGTGGAAGGCCCGGACCACATCCAGCAGTTCGCCCAGCTGTCTGCGGTGATCGCCCCTTGGCACCACAGTGCGTTCGCCAACGAGCAGGAGCAGGTGGGGACAGCAACGGATGAGTTCCCAGTCGATCATGGGAACTTCTACGTGAGGGCTCGGTCCAGGCTCCGGGTCTGCCCCCTGGAGTTCGTGCGGCAGGAGCCGCTCGGCCACCGGTCGCACGACGAGAACACCGCCGTTCGGGCCCGCAACGGCCCTCCGGCTCTCATGGATGAGGCGGCTCGGCAGGCGGTTCAGCAGCTGGGCTCCTCCGTTCGACCAGAGGGTGAGCACTGTTCAGGTGCCGACCGAAGGCGAGTTGGAGGAGGCGCAGATCGCCGAGCAGGTCGTCATAGAAGCCCGCGATCGCATGAGGGCTGACATGCGCTTCTCGCGCACCTCGGCTGCGATCACGCCACAGGTCTTCACGGACGTCCTCCGCGATCGCGAGCAGGCGGAGTATGAGCGGATCAGCACGGTCAGGGTGGAGGAGACGGGCCAGGAGTTCCACCCCGACCTCGGCGCCGAAGGCGTTCGTCCCGGCCTACCCACCGGCCAGATCGACAACGGGGCCCTACACGATGGACACTTCGGAGTAGCTGTCGATCGGGGCGCAGCTGATGGTCGATTTTTGTGCACGCTCCTAAGAGAGTGGTGCGCCGCACGACCGAAGCTTCCTGGCTGATCAGCCGGGCTCTTCCGCGGAACAAACATGCCGAGCGATCCTCTCGGCGCGCTAGATCCCAGCGCATGTTCTGCCGGAAGTGAGTGTGATCATGACCTGTCTCAGGCACGGCGCTCGGTTGCCATTAGCAGGCACGTGCGATCGTCTGTGCAGCTGTTCAGGCCAAGCATGGATAGGTCCGTTCGGAAGATCTTGTCCCTCCCCTTGTTCGGGGATGAGTTTTGCCAATGGTTGGTGGATCTTCGGATGGCTCAGTTCGAGAAGCTCTCGGCTGTTTCGGACGGGACGATCGCTGAGTGTGTGCAAGCGTTCGTTGAGCTAGTGCCTGCCCTCGAGGAACTCCACACGCCAGCTCGGCGGAAGAACGAGGAGGAGCTCGGCAGGTGGGTCCCGTCGCTCGAGCTGTTGTTTGTGCTGGTTCGTAGCACGGCGGCAGCGGGCTGGGCTGATCTGGCCACCGATCTGGGTTTTGGCATGGCTGAAGCTCCGGTCGTCTTTGGGCGATCGCCCGTGAGATCGAAGGGGACAGGCAGAGAGCCTCCTATGCCCCTGCCACTCGCAAAGAGGCCGCGGTCGATCGAGCCACGGGCCGAGGATCCACAGGCTTCGCTTAAAGTTCGTGAGCTCGGAGAGGCACGGAAGTGGGGCATGAGGCTGAAAGCGATCGTGGAGAGGCGCGGCGAGCACGCGGCGATCGCTGGCAACCCGAAGCCTGGATCTCCTCTATCTCAGGACGAGATGAACGCGCTGAGGGTGATCGTCTTCGAAAGTGGCGGTTTCCGTACTATCCAACAGTGCGTTCGTCACTGGGAGCGGATGGAGACATGGGCGCGGTCGCAGAATATCTCGGCGATCCCGCTGACCACTGATGTGCTCGTTAAGTACCTCCTGAGCCTCTCCGATCGAGGATGCGGCCCCACGGTCATACCTTCGGTCCGCGGAGCGGTCAAATGGATCTGCAAGCGGATAGGTATGCAGGTGTCCGATCTTCTCGATCCCCGGATCATGGCCTTGCAGAAGAAGGTGTACGGCGATCGAGGGAAAGAGACTCGGGAGGCAGTTCCTATCCCTTTAGTCTTGGTGGCGGCGCTCGAGAGGTTTGTGAGCGCTCGCTTCAAGTCGAGTCAGTTCTCCATGGCGTTCTTCGCATGGTGGGTGCTCGTGATGATCTACTCGTCTCTCAGGTTCGACGATGCTCTCCACGTCGTGCCCGAGACGCTCGTCTTGAAGGACGAGGCTCTTTATGGAGTAGTGTGGCAGACTAAGGTCGAGCGGCAAAAGAAAGGGACGCGATTCGCGGCGGCCCGGGTCTCCGTCTCCGGATCCGATTGGATGGAGGACGGATGGCACGCTGCTTCGTTCGAGATGGACGATCGCGACTACTTCATGAAGGAGCTCGAATCGGCTGAGCGATTCGCCGATCGACCCGCCAGCTACCAACGGGGCATTGTGTTGCTGCGGTATGTGCTCACTACTGCAGCATCAGATGACCTGAAGCGCGGGCATATCGCGCCCGAACAGCTCAAAGAACTTTTGAAGACCGTGCCAGAGATCACCTGGCACTCTTGCCGAGTCACGCTGCTCGCGGCGGCGGTCCAGGCGCAGGAGCCCGACAAAGAGATAGGGCTCCAGGCGAACTGGAAGGATCCGAGCCAGCTGGTCCTGAAGTACGCTCGGAGCCGCAAAGAGATCTCGATCGAGATGGTCAAGCGGCTCACGAAGAGGATCGCCTCTGACTGGAAATCCCCGCCAGAGTTCGGGGCTGACGACACCAACCTGGTCGACTTCGGAGATCTCGCTCTGACTTATGTCACCAAGGCTAGATCAGCTTCGGGGTCCTCTAAGGATCTGAGCCTTAAATACCATGCCATGTATATAGATGGCTCGGGCACGGAGCGAACGCTCTGTGGTCGGTATGCGATCACCGAGTGCGAAGACCTCGGTGAGATTCCGCCGAGCACCCAGATGTGCTCGCTGTGTTCCGGTAAGATCTTTACGGAGCCGTGAATATATCTGCTCGCCAGTCTGGTGGTCTGTCGATGCTGAACCTCTCGCTGACCGAAGCCTTTTTTCCAGACCGCTCGTGTAGGCAGCCATGGTGGATCGCACCGTGTACGCCGATGAGGCAGCGACCCCGAAGTTGAACCTGCGCCAGATCTTCGGGAGACAAGGGCTGGATCCGGCCCTATGCAGGCTTTCGGCCGACAAGGGTCTGCTTACGGTCGAGATGTTCGCTATGCTAGGGCCAGATCTCACTGCAGCGAAGGCGACGCTCCGCCGGTTATGGCAGGACGACTTGGCCCCTCTCGAAACGGATGCGGCTGCCCAAGAGCTCTCCGTGATGTCTCTGGCAGCGGTATGGCAAGCTGCTCAGGCTCTGCAAACGCAATATGCCTCTCGGCGAGCTCGCATGGAGGAGGACCGGAACAAGATCCCGGAGCTCTCCCAGGAGGATCACGCGGAGTTTCGCGATCGCTTTGTGAGGGTCCATCCCGACATCATCCTGATCGGCGCCAAGGAGCCGCACAAGAAGTTCGTGGAACGGCTGTCCCGCGATTTCCTTATCCACGGGATAGTTCCCTACTATGAGCCGGCCGAGATCAGGACCCGCTCTGATGTGA